TATTTTACTTAGCTTTGCTCACCCACACCCAACACATTAAAAGGGTGGGACACTAAACACCAGTCTTCTTTCAGCGTTATGTGTTGAATACAACAATCACAGCAGGAAAATTTCTGATCCGCACATGCATTCGTGCAAACCGTTCAGTCTGGCTTACGGGTAGTGAGTTTTGGTGTGAAATAATCAACTGTAGGGAATGCGCGGACCGATCCTGCAACAAGCATGGATGTCGAATAGACACTGATGTTCAATTCATCCCTGTTTTGTTTAATCAAAACAGATCTATGGATCTCGGAATCGACATATTGATAGGTGTTTTGTGTCGAGAAGGACCTCCATCCTTAGACAGCCCGCTCACTGACTTCCTCTTCAGAAGATAATGTACTGGATTGGGGTCACAAGTGTGGTCTAACAATGCAGTTCGGGAAGCTAAAATCCAGTCTGAACACGTCGTGAGACAGCCGAGCAATACCTTCGTCTTACGGGTGTCTGATGGGAATATTCTTGGAATTACTGCTTCATGGACTGCTTTTCCAGGAGTTGGAAGTAGTGCTGATCTATGAAATGCATCGGAATTCACGATTCTGTGTGCAGCAGCCCATTCTAAGGTGTTGGGATCCCGGGTCAGAATTCTCCATTTTTCATTCGAGAGTGCGTATGGGCACATGGAGCCAAGGCCACTTTATCACAATGGAACCGTTACGGCCTACGGAAACAAGTTGGGAGAATCTGGTGGTAGACACCAATTCTGTGTAGTACGGCCGAGTAGATGACTACTCTGTCAGCAATATTGAGACTCGTAATGTGCGCCCTAACAATCTTTTATATTGTACCGATTGTGCGTAGTTCAAAATACTGAAACAGTAGTAGTGTTAGTAGAGGTCTCACACTGATCGTGATCATCACATCTTGCCAGAGTTTCCTCGATCCCGATGGTGAGAAAGGCAAGTGTTTTTTCTGCATCAAGGAAACGCATGCCCTGATCTAAAGACCGAATGCCTCACTTCATGATCTGCAGGGTAATTCAGCCGAAACGTGGCACAAGGGGGATATTGGAGAGGATGAATGACTGGAGTTCGCGTGCACCAGGAACAACTATAAAAAACTGCAGGAAAGACCCCGCTCGAAGGCATGATCAACAATAAATAGAAAGCGACAAGTGTCTAACGACAAGCGAAGAAATGTCGGGTCCGAGTAACAAGAACTCAGTAGATTGTTCGCTCCGGCTGGTCTTCCCAGCGGAAACAGCCCCTTTAATGGCCTGACTGTCTTTGATCTAGTCGAACCTCAAGCCCATTTTTCCCAACAAGTTGGGAAATAACCTATTATTACTATATCACCGGGTATTCCCCACCGTTTATGACATTGTCCTTTTTTGTGCAATCTGCACCCCAACAATTCCCCCAGTCATGCTCCATTCTGACTGTAAAACTATGATCATGCCAGACGGTATGCTACCCACAAATTGGGAATAAACCTTATTATTATTATTATTATTATTATTATTTACTATTGTAACCTTTTTGCCTAGTGCCACTAGTGGTTGGCATTTTACGTTCCACTGCCTTATTTTCCCTAGTTTTGCTTCGTTTCCGACTGAAGCTAGTAGTGGACGACTTTCCGATGTGTTTTATGCGACCTCGGACTCCCTTCGATGTTAGCTGGGGTTGATGAACTGCATGCATAGCTGAAAACGAACATAAATGAATGTGGTAAATGTGGGGTTGCCACAGCAGTTGCAGCCGCTTTTACAGAAACGACGAATAGAATTCGTGTGTGATGTCCGTCACAAATGATGCGGGTTGATTGCTGGTTGGTCCGCAAGCTGTCGATTGGACTCCGGTAAAACAACTGCTGTCAATCAGAATTTCGACTTATAGCTTTCTGATACTGTTCCGTCTGGTACCACCCGCTGTACGACTGACACGCTCGGTGGTGTGGAGACCTCAGAGGCTGGATAACAGACCTTGATCTCTTGGGCCTCGATTAGGTTA